TCATAACTGTTCAACACCGGCATTAATGTATCCTACAGAATTGGTGTGTTATTGGCATGTACGTGTGAAAGCTCTTACATCGAACAGGCAACATCGATCAGCGTTCATAGTCCATCGAGCAGAACGAGCAGAAACATTGGTGATGGGGTGTGTGGCAACGGTAAGCGGCCGGGTCTGTCCCCGCTGCTCGGCTTCTACTATAGGACACACCTTCTCCGCCAACTCCAAAAGCACGTCCACGTCCGCGATATTCCTTCCCTGCTCGAAGTAGGCGTGGAACAGCTGATCGATCATCTCGCCTCCCTTGCCCTGGCCATCCGCGAATCGAACAAGACGGTGCGAGCGGATGGTGTTGTGCACCTTCCTGTCGTTGTTGAAACGGATGCCGGTAGCCTCCCCTGCCATCGCCAGCGACGCCGCCATTCGCGACCCTGCCCCTTTGCCGTATTTCTTTTCCAAGTACTCCTGGGAAACAGGGGTGTGTGGTGCGCAAAAGAATTAAAACGGTATTCGTGCCACCAGCTCCTTGCCTTAGCGGGTCGAACGTCCATGAGCGCGAAGTTAAGCAGGTATCGACGGGGGTGACCGTACGGTCGGCAGGACAACCAGCGGGAAGGTGGTAAAGAATGTGAGAACGAATCTACAGCAAGCCCCCCCCCTTCGGCGCGCTCTACACGATCGGCGTGACTTGTCGATCGATGCGAATGGGATGCCTCACCACCAACGACAAGATGGAGAGCAGTCGCGGAACCATCCGAGAAACGTTACTTCGATCAATCCTTAGCATGCGGGAGTGGTCTGGTGGGAATGAAGCGCGTACACAGCAGCAGCACAATTCACAGCACAGGACTCACCGTTATGGGCAACTCCGATGTCTCTGGCGCCTCGATGTTGAGGAAGAATGGCTTCCACCGCACGTCGAAGACGGGGGGGCTTTGGGTGGACGGTTCCCTCGCAGCGAATTGCTTCATGGCGGTCTCGAGGTTCCTCTTGCCGACGAAGCACCACGGGCAGACATTGTCGCTGAATATCTGAAGAGTCAAGAGTTAGGACACGGCGGTTTGCGTGCGTGAGATTGACACGATAGCATGTTACTCGAGTGAAGGAGGTCCCCGAAATATGCGGGGTCGCGAAATGTATGTATAATCGTGCAGCTATATTCTCTTGGGGATGGGATTCGGTGAGCCGAGTAACTGCCGTAGGCCGCAACGCCCGCGGTCGACAAAAAACGTGGGAAAGCAAACTGATCCAATAGTGTGCGACGTTGTGCCAGCATGTTGTAATGAAAGCTGGGGTTTGCATTGAATTTGCAGGGGTAGTCTCTCCTAATGCTCACAGCTCCAAATGTTCCAAATAGTTGCTTTGTGAGAAGAGATGTTATCATGATATCCTACCCATACGATCCTCCAAAGCATTACGCGGGGGTAAAATAAAGAAATTTCCCGCAGATTGTGCCAGCATTTTGTAATGAAACCTTTCTTGAAGCTGAGGTGTCCATTGAATTTGCACAGGGTCGACTCTCCTAGGAATGCCCGCAGCTCTAAATGTTCGAAATAGTTGCTTCACTTAGGATCCTTCGCATACGATCCTCCAAATCATCACGCGGGGAGAAATAGGGAAATCTCCCGCAGTTTGTGCCGGCATGTTGTAGTGAAACCTTTCTTGAAGCTGTGGTGTCCATTGAATTTGCACAGGGTACCGAGGAATGCCCACAGCTCTAAATGTTCAATATAGTTCATCGGTGAGAAGAGATTGTGTCTCGCGATCCTACGCATTCGATCTTCCAAAATATGGCGCGGGGGGAAATAAGGAAATCTTCCGCAGCGTCTACACCGTCTGAAGTCCAGTCTATTTGTAGGTCGCACCACGCCATGCCTTACTGCCGTAGTGACTCTCCATTCCTCCATGTGATCAGACACTGAGGCCCGAGGCGGTGTCGTTGTAGAGTGATGGGCACCAAACAATGGGGCACTGCATCCGCAAGGTACCAACACGCCCTGACACCGACACGCTCAGGACAGTTGCTACTGCTGTACTTTGAATCCCTCCCGCACCATCTTCCTGCCTACAGCCGTACATAAGCGTACCTTGATGTTGAATTTCGCCATGACGCTCGCTTAAATTGCGTAGTGCCTCTTCAGTGCTGCCAGCCACCAAGTGATTGTGAGCGAGTTGTGCGGTTGTGTGGCGAGAGGCGAGAGGTGGGGCGTTAGGCGTTGCGGCGGAATATGGGTGCAACGCACCGCAGTTCCTATGATCTAGAATAGGATGGGGTGTGGGTCTGCCCGCAAAATATGGGAAATGGGGGGGGCAGAGAGATTTGATTTCAAAATTGAGGAAAGCAGGGGGGGGGGGGGGG